GAATGAATGAAGATTTCTTTAGAGATCTCTTGCAAGTTTGCCATATGGATTTATTCTAGGACCCCTTGGAGTGATTCCTTGGGATTTCTCTCTCTTTTCTCTTTCCCTACCCTTTATCCTCTTTCTCTCTCTCTCTAACTCTCTCTTCCTCTCTCTCTCTCTCTAACTCTCTCTTCCTCTCTCTCTGTCTTGTGATAGTTTGTTCCAGCCCTACTACATCAGGGATGGTTTGGCCTATCTGGGTGTTTTAAGCATTAGTTGGATGTCCTTTGGGTGTTTTTCCTTTCCATTCAGGTCATTGCTTATCACCTTTTCTTGTATCTTGTTTTTCTGTTTTAATTGAATTTTATTTATCTTCAAAAAAAAGAGAAAGAGAATAGAACGTTGTTCAAATAGCTGGGCCAAAACTTCCATACTAGTAAAAATAGGTCCTATCTTTAACTAACTCCACTAGTTCCTGCTCTCAAAAGCATCATGAGCTGTTGGTGAAAATTTGGCAACAGTTCTTCAACATTATTGCTTAAAGGAGCAAAGTAAATTTTCAGCAGGTTATCTATGTTGTGTAAGCCAGTGGGGCCCACATGCACCCCTGCTACCTTTAGCCTCACTAACCTACTGACTACATGTCTAGCATATGACAACTTACCTCTATGAGGACTAAAGCTGCATAGCCATTATATATATATATAAGAGAAAGAGGGAGAGAGAGAGAGAGAGAGAAAATCATTTAAGCCCTGGTCAATCAACTAGAAGTACATCCATAGGGACCATGCCTTGGTATAATGTGGGTTCAAGTCTAAGAGTGGCCACTTTTTGCCTAAAAAGAGAAAAAAAAATGCCAAAGGTTTGGTCTGTATCCAGTGCACCCCTTGCAAGACCCTGGATAGCTGGGGCTGACATTAAGTAATTGGTCCTGACGACTTATCCAAAGCTCTTCACTGTTGATGACAAATTATTGGTTTTTTTATAATTGAAACATTTAATTCATTAATCAAAAGATATATATATATATATATAGAGAGAGAGAGAGAAAATCATTTAAGCCCTTTATTTTGGTCAATCAACTAAAAGTACATCCATAGGGACCATGCCTTAGTATAATGTGGGTTCAAGTCTAAGAGTGGCCACTTTTTGCCTAAAAAGAAAAAAAATACCAAAGGTTTGGTGTGTATCTAGTGTACCCCTTGCAAGACCCTGGATAGCTGGGGCTGACATTAAGTAATGGTCCTGACTACTTATCCAAAGCTCTTCACTGTTGATGACAAATTATTGGTTTTTTTATAATTGAAACATTTAATTCATTAATCAAAAGATAGGTCTATTACAAGTATCCCAGATAGAGGTATGAGATGCAGCCTCACTCTTAATACAAAATTACATCCAACCAAAGAGAAATGAGGCTGCAATCAATTACAAAGTATCCTAGAACAAAGAATCCTTATTAACCCCTTGTTTTGCAAGAGAGTCAGCCATCTCATTTGCTGACCTTCTTTACCCATTGGACTTTCATCGTCATATTCCTTGTTAACCAAAACACTTTCTTAAGGAGATCCCTAAAACCCCAAATAATCAAATCCATTGATGAAAGATTATTATTGGTTATGACATTCATCAAAAAAAGATTTCTGATTATGACATTTTTGAATTACCTATCCAATGCTCATCATCGTTGATAAAAAACTGGTCACAACATTTTGTCACTAGGTTTTGATATGTGATACAAGTAAATATAGTACATGAAATAAGCACAAAACTTTTCTTATCAAACAAAACTTTGTTAGTTGATGTTTTTAAGGGTGTTTTATAGTTGTCCGAATTCTAAAGAACATAGTTGGTTCTAGATGGGTCTTAAACTGAAGCATAACTATAATTATATAGTTTCTTGAAATGAAAGTATATGAGTATGTTAAGGATCTTATTTATAATCCTTACCACTCTTAAGGTGCCCTTACTACAACCACTCAATATGATTTACTTTACTAGTTCAGGGGCTATTTATTAAATGGTTAAGTGGTTGAATTAAATGGCTTATTACTTTGTCTTTTATTGAATGAGTCACTAAGTAGGTTATGCACTTCATAACGGCTGGATGTTATGTTTGGTTAATTAGTATAGGCTTAATAGCTTTATTATATGGCCATTTTATCACCAAGCTATTTAATAAGACAGTGAAAGAAAAGATGTCTAATGATTAGAAAAACAATGATATGGTGCCTATACTTAAGAACAAAGGTCATATAAAAAGTTGTAATAACTATCAAGGGATTAAACTTATGAATCACACTATAAAACTTTGGGAGAGAATAAACAAACAAAGATTACGACTTGAAATAAGTGTATCAAAGAACCAATTTGGTCTTATGATAGGGAGATCAACCATGGAAGGTATGGCCCTGTTTGGCAATGTTCCCACCTGTTCCTGTTCTTTTAGAAATTCATGTTCCAGAACAAGAATTTTATTTCTTGCTCTTTAGGAGTAGCAGATACATTTGGCAAATGGTTCTTCAAGAACGAATTTTTGTTCTACAAGAACAAAAAGCATTTGGATAGTGAAACTATTTCTTAACATCAGTTTTGCAAAGGTTCATAACACATAACAAAGGACAATCTTCATGATATTCAACATATAACAAAAGATATAACAAAACACAAAGATGGGATTAGAGAGGAAACCCCACCCGTTCAGCATAACACAACCATAAATGGGATTAGAAAAGAAACCACACTCATTCGGCATAACATATAACAAATGCAAACAAAATAATATAAGAAAAACGATTTCATTGCATCGGTTAGAGATTGTTTAAAACTCATCTTTGTGGTGGGAGAAAAAATGAATTCAGGTGAATCTAGCCGGAGAAAAGGTGGGTTTAAAACAGAGCACACAATACAAAACCAAGTACGGTGATGAGAAAACATACCTATTGACGCATTCCTAGACGGAAATGTCACCGGTGCTTTCTATTGTTCGCTCGCTGTCCAATTGGAGCCAAGGGAGTCCCTCCTTCCTCTGAGATTTGCAGTGGCAAGTTAGAGGAGTTCGCTATCGAACGAAAATGTTTGGTAGGGTTTCTTTCTAACATTTAGTGTGAAATACCCAAAATACCCCTTCTCTCACGTGGGAGTCGTTAACACTTGTTCGTTAATAGGGGTTAACGTCATGGGAACGCATTCTTTGGGAGCACCACTTTTTCTCTTTGGGTGATGTTCTCACACGAGAACACGTTTTTTTTTCTTGTACCAAACGTGTTTCTGCTCCATGAGAACACCAGGAACGCGTGAAACGTTGCCAAACAGGGCCTATATTTCTTTTTAGACGATTGATAGAAAAGTTAAAAGAGAAAAAGAGATCTTCATATGGTGTTCATTGATCTAGAAAAGGCATATGATAGAGTTCCTAGAGACATAATATGGTGGGTCTTAGAAAAGAAAGGGGTTCAAAATAGGTATATAGACCTAATTAAGGATATGTACGAGGGGGCAACAACTAATGTTAGAACACCAATGGGAGAGACTTAAGATTTTACAATTACTATGGGTCTTCACCAAGGTTCAGCACTTAGCCCATATCTATTTGCACCGATCATGGATCAATTGACTAAACATATTCAGGAGGAAGTTCCATGGTGCATGTTATTTGTGGATGACATTGTTTTAATTGATGAAACTAATGAAGGATTAAATGCAAAATTAAGCTTATGGACAAATGCCTTAGAAACAAGAGGTTTTAAAATAAGTAGGACTAAAGCAAAGTATATGACATGTAAATTTAGTAATAATAAGAGGGTAAATCAAGATACACTTTGGATTGGAGACCAAAAGATAACTCAATGTGACCATTTCCGATACCTTGGTTCAATAATTCATAACAAGGGAGAGATTGTGGGGGATGTCACCCAAAGAATTAAAGCAAGATGGGCAAAATGGAGGGGGCATTTGGACTTCTATGTCATAGATGAATACCACTACGATTAAAAGGAAAATTCTATAAAACAGTTGTAAGGCCAGCTATGTTGTATGGAGCAGACTATTGGGCAGTTAAGAAACAATGTATCTAGAAAATGAATGTAGCAAAAATGCAAATGCTAAGAAGGATGAGTGGAAAAATAGAAAGGATAGGATTAGGAATGAAGATATCCATAGGAACGTAGGAGTAGCTCCAATAGGTGATAAAATGAGAGAGAGTAGATTAAGATGGCTTGGGCATGTGCATAGAAGACCGCCAACTGCGCCAGTTAGAAGAAGTGATTTGTTACACATTGAAGGGGCTAGAAGAGCTCGGGGTAGACCAAAAAGGGCATGAGTAAAATTAGTAAGAAATGATTTAAGCACTAATAGTTTAATAGTGGATATGGCTTTAAATAGAACGGATTGGTGAAACAGGATTCGTATAATCGATCCCATATAGTTGATGATAGGATAGAACCTTTTATCACTGTCATAAGGACAAAATAAAATCATTCAATTAAGCCACTTCAGCTGTTATCAAATGACCCCTTAGTTTGGGTCCTTCTCAGCTGAAAGGAGAAATGGGCAAACTGACATTGCACATTATGATCTTATCTCCTTTGTATTTGTTTTCCTTATTTTTTCCATGTTCCCCATTCTCTCTTACATACTACTAGTATGGCAGGACAGGATTCATGTAGCTGTGCTTTGATCAAAGAGGAACTTTGGAAATTCAATCTAAGCAAATTACCTGTGTTTTGATCAAAGAATTTTGCAAACCTTTTCAATTTGCTTTACTTTATATATGAAGTAGCTTGCTATCTTCATCCCACAGAGATGCACACATTCCCCCACCCTGGTTGGTGGGGATCTTGATTATCTTTCTGTATTTCACCTATGCATGGTTTCCCTTTTATCCTTCATTGTTACTATAATTAGGCAACTACCTCTTCGTCAATGCTCATTAATATATCTATTATGCATTTTCCTGTAAAGGCTTCTCAAGTTTATTATACTTGTGGATAACTGTGTGATTTTGTTTTGCTATGCAGGTTGACATTTGTGTTTTTGCCTTTGACATCATGTTTGCTAACGGAGAACAGTAATCATCTAGACTGATTGTTTTCAAGACTGATATTCAACATATTTTGGTCGAACTATTATGTTTTTACTAGACCAGTGTTCTATAAGATTTATATCTATTACAGTGAACATGGAAAATTAGAATAATGATTTTGTTATTTTGTTATTAAACATACAGAAAAAACAGTTTGCACAGCTTGCAGAGACATACAAAATTACTAATATACATGTTATAGAAAACAAATGGTGGAACCTTCAAGTATAAGTTCTGTTGCACCAAACATGGTTTTAAAAGGTGCCAAGCTGCCAAGCTGAGGTGGTGCCAAACCACCTTGCTTGAGGACCTTGTGAATGTGGCCAGAGGCTTATGCCTAAATTCTGTGAGGTGTATGCCTCACCACCTTATGCCTCAATTTGGTTAGGTGTACGCCTCATCTAGACAGCATTATATTTGTGAAAAAATAAAATCCAAAGATATATTGATTTATGATGCTTTCTAAAGTTAAATAAAACTTTATTCAGTCGGTTACAAATAAAACAAGATAATTTAAATTCAAAAATTTCACATAATATATTTCTTAACCCAAAGTATCTCTTTGCTTTTCTCTTGAACCCAGAAAGATATTTAGTACGTAAAAAGCAAAGAGATTGGAGAAGCGAAGATACTTTGAGTCACCTTTTAAAATTAGATTCTCATAATTTCTTTCTGTAAAATGTTCATTTGATGAAAATCTTAACCTTGTTTCATCCTTTTGGAGCAGATGACATTGTAAGAACTTGGAAAATAGTAGCAGCATACTCTCTACCCAAGCCATGGAAGAGGAAATTCCATAAAGGCAGAAATAAGTGCAGTTGTACAAGGCCCTAGGGTGGCAAAATCTGTAATTTACAGAATCTGATTTTAAAGGTGATTCCAAAGTAGTGGTACAGTGGTTAAAAAAATCAAGAGTTGGCACCATGGGGACACAGGAAATGAAGGAGATCAAATTATTGACGTGGGACAGAATGATAGAAGTAAGATAGGTGCATAGATCAGCAAATGAGCTTGCCGATTTGTTGGAAAAACAAGGGGTGGGCAGGAATGAATTCTTCTAAGCAGGAATAGAAGAATGGAGAGGAAAAGGTAGCACTAAAGAACAGAAGAGATCGAACTTAATGCTTCCCTTTCTTAAATAATAAAAGAAATAAGAAATACAACTAAAAAGAAACATCCTCCACTTAAATAAATAAAGAGAACATAACTTCTGACAAGTTATTGCTATGTATTCCAAGATTAGACAAACAGAATGCTACTTTTTTCAAGGCAGTTGGTATTGTTAAGCCTATCAGATTGAACTCTTAACATGCTTCATTCCCTGAGGCTGTCATTTCATGGGTTTATGAGGCTCTTAATCTAATGTGTCTCTACCATTTTCAATTGATTTTGTGAACCATATGATCATCTATTGTAGACTCCAGATTGAACTCCTCTGTCAAATGGAAGCCAAGAGTAGGCAATGGCATTGCTTATGTGGTGGGAAAAGTGGTGTTGGGGAAAATGTTTAGTTGATCTTCGTTCTCTTTATGTGGTCATCCCTTGCCTTTAGGGCATGTCTGTGTGTGAAAATAATAAAAGCAGTTACTTTAAAGTCCATGGAACTGCCTTGCCTCAACTTCTATGTGGTTCATCCCGGTGGCAATCAACTTTGACGACATTGGTTTCTCCAATTTTGTCCCTTATTTCTAGATTTTGTGCCACTTTGGTATATTTCCATTTCTGACCAAACTCTGCTATATCTTTCTTGTTCCATGGAACTTAGGCACACATTAGAAATATTTAGCACATTTAATCTAGAAGCACTTTGTAATCTTTGGTAAGAACAGGAGGATAGGAGCAAGGAACTTAATGCTTTTAATCAAGTGCATTGAGAGTATCTCAAATCAAAAAACTACTTCAGCAAAAGCTGTTTGGCCAGTATTATCATGGAAGACACTGAATTAAGGAAACGTACAGTATTTAAAATGGAACTAACTTAATATAATCATAGAATGAGTTTGTATCAGGTTATCTTAACAGATTTCTTATTTACAGGTTGTTGTGTTTACCTTTGCGTCAAAGACAAAAATGTATGTTTCCCCCTTCTTACTAGGAAAAAAAATCATATTTCATATAACTAGGAAAGAATTCCTTATCATCATAAATTCTAAATCTGACAGCTTACCTTCTTTACTTGTTTTTGAGAGCATCACAGATTTGAAGGATTTGTTTTGTGACAAGTTGGGTCATTTTGAATATGCAAAGGAAATAACAGTAAGTACCCTTGGCTGTTTATGTCATTGATTTCCGTGTGGAAATTATTGTATCTTATTCAACCAAATTTTAGGTGGAAGCAGAAGACGCTTATTTGAGTAACCAGGCCTCATTAACAAAAATAAACTTGTTCTTGGAGGATGCATTCAACTCTTCATGTGAAGGAATCATGGTGAAGTCTCTAGATGTTGATGCTGGATATGCTGCATCAAAGCGTACCGAAACATGGTTGAAGGTTTTTCCAAGCTGAAAGATAATTTCTTTTAGATTTCTAAGGAATTAATGGTGGAAAAGAACAAAAAAATAAAGCAATGTTTTCTTTCCAGGTTAAGCGAGATTATGTGGACGGACTGAATGATTCTCTTGATTTGGTTCCCATTGGTGCTTGGCAAGGGAATGGGAGAAAAGCAGGATGGTAATGACCTCCCCCACCTTTTTCAATCTACACACATGTACATGTGAATACATACAAAAGAGAAAGGAAAAAGGGGAGTCATAAAGAACTAAAAGAACCTTTCTCTTTGCTGTCTGCTGTGCTGACTTTATGAGGATATCCTTTGTTTTAGGAGAACTGCAACTAGCCCTGATTTTGGTTAGTTTATTTATTTTCAGGTACAGTCCTTTCCTTATGGCATGTTACAACCCTGATACTGAAGAATTCCAAAGCGTTTGTCGTGTAATGTCTGGATTCTCTGATTCTTTCTATGCAGAGGTAAATAGAATTATAATTTACCTAATGAAAATTCTTTCTATTCTTTTTTGGTATATGGAAGAAGGCTAGGTATGTTCAGAATTGGAGTTATTTACATATACCTGATCTCTCTCTCTACTCTCCACCCTCTAATTAGACCTCTTACAAGTTGAAGGGTCTAGAAGAGATAGGGGCAGACCAAAAAGGACATGGGGTTGAAGTAGTGAGATATGATTTAAGGCTCCACAATTTAACAATGGATATGTTACTGAACAGAGTGAAATGGGTGAATAAGATTTCTGTAGCTGACCTCATATAGGCTTGAGTTGAGATGAGGACCATAACTGGGAAGGAGCTTTTCCATCTCTGGGTGTTAGGAGAACTCTGTAGCTGACCCCATATAGGCTTGAGTTGAGATGAGGACCATAACTGGGAAGGAGCTTTTCCATCTCTGGGTGTTAGGAGAACTCATAGGTACTTCTCATGCCTTCAGTTGGTCACAAATTGGATAATAAATGGCTGAAGACTAGCATTCATAAGACAATGCTATGAAGCCAACTGCATTAGAGGTTCCATGCTCCACAGTATTACAAAACAATGCTTGATAGTGACACTGGAAGCGTTGGGCTGTACATGATATTTTAGCTGGTCATTTTACATGTACATTGCTACTCTTCAGGATGGCTATCTGCAAGTTTAGTTCTAATACTTGCTTAATTGTTGTTTGCAAAAGGGTTATTTCTTGGTGCAATTGTAAAACCTCAGACTGACAAGTGTGAGGACAACGGTTTAAGACTAAGAGTGACCGCTTTGTGCACAAAATGCCAAAGGTTAGGTCTAAATCTAGTCCACCCCTCCCAAGCATATAGCTGGGAGCAACATTGGGCGATGACCCTTTTCAGAATGTCAACTCAATATGCATTTTCTGCTTGAAATCTTTCAATATCTCATAATTAGTTCTTACTCAAACTGAATTGCAGATGAAAGAGTTCTTCTCTGGTGAAAAAATCCTATTCAAAAAGCCTCCTTACTACCAAACATCTGAGGTACCCGATTTGTGGTTTTCTCCAGAACTTGTTTGGGAAATAAGAGGTGCAGGTAAACGCAGTCCCTGTTATGAAGTTTTCACTCTAAGGTAGCTTTTTGATATATTTAGGTGTCTCTTATCAGATTTCCCTGATACATGTATTTTTGTAGACTTTACAGTTTCACCAGTTCATCAAGCTGCAGTTGGTCTGGTTCATCCATCTCGTGGTATCTCTATCAGATTTCCAAGATTCATCCGCTCTGTATTGGATAGAAAACCAGAGGAATGTAGCACATCTGAAGATATAGCTGGCATGTTTCATTCTCAGACCCGGAAGATGGATGTTGACATCAAAGATTGAATTTTGCTTTAGGTAAACCCCACATTCTAGTTTGGGAGGTTTATCACTTGACCACCTAAACAGCCAAACTATGTTTATTGTTAGATCTCCACCCACTTTTAGTGAATGGGCAATTTACGAAATCACACATTTGTTGTCTATATGTACGAGTAACCAAGATTTCCACCAATGACTAGGTATGGCCAAGAGTTGAGCTTTTCACGAGTTATTCGAGCTTGGCTCGTGGAAAGCTCGAGCCCTATCGAGCTTTTGTATGTATACACACATACATACATGTGTATATGTATACATACATGTATGTATACACATACATATATACATATAAATATGCATATACATATATATACACATATAATGAATATATAATATTTTTATTCTTTATATATAATAATAACTAGATTTTATAATTCTTAATTTTTTATTTTTATAAAACATTTGGCTCACAATCGAGCTTGAGACTAGCCAAGCTCAAGCTTACGAGCTTTTGACTCAAGCCAAACTCGAGCTCAAGCCTCATACTTTATTGGTGAGTTTATCTCGGATAGTTAGATATTTGGCTCGGCTCATGCCGAATCCACCCCTACCAATGACCAATCCCAATCATTCAAGTAATTTTTCAATTCTATAAAATACAATCAAATAAAGTGAAGTACCAAATAACATATAAAATTTGGGCCATCAAAATAGCACCCTAAGATCAACCAATTAATTCCCAACATCAAAATAATTTACTAAGGCCTAAGGGGGTGTTCTTTTTTGGGATTTTGAGAGGGGGAAAGTTGGTCAATGGGATTTTAATTCCATTGACCAAGAAACCCATGTTCATTTTCCAGATTTATGTGGTGACCGGTGAAAGTTTATTTTCTTGGTAAGTGATACCTATTTTCTAGGTGGGTAAATTAACTTTCCCACCTAAGAGAAAGTTGCCAATACTTGGATGGGACAAAAATGCCCCTTTTAATAATGGAATTTTTATGATTAAGATGGCCATTGCCTTATTTACATGGGTAAATGCACTTATCCGAGTAAGTCTTTCTTGGGAAACACTTACCCAGGCATTTACCTGGTTAAGTAACTTACTGAAAAGTGAACAGGGCATAAGATTAATCTAGGCCATCCTAATGGCCTGCTCCAATCTAGTGTAAATTCTTGAAACCAAGTACTTGACTTGCACCTCTAATGCATAGAAGGCCTAATAAACTGGGAATTGTCAACTTTATACCCCCATTGTGTGACCGCATATATGGATGTACATATGGTTTACATAGATGGATACATAGATAGATAGATATAATTTTGTTGCTCCCAAGAAAGGGGAACACAGCCTCAATACTAAGAGAGGGAATGGGGGGAGACTCAACTCCAAACCCCTTCTAATGATTGTTAAGAAATTCTTGCAGAAAGAGAAATCAGGAAAATACATCTATAACCCCAAAGGAAGGAAATGGGGTGAAAAATCGATCAAGGCCTGAAACCATAACTGAAAAACTGACCTATATAAATATATACACTGAATCCTTCCCACAAATTGTTTACACCATAATGTTGTTCATTTATGAGAAAATACTACGGATGATAAATTGGGGTGTAACCCATCCCTGTTCACGCTATTTTGTGGATAGGACCATCCACACAAAGCATAACACCACATTCTATTGTGAACAGGACCATCATGTCTACAATATTTTCACACTACCAAACACTCTCTTAGTGGTCAGCAGGGTCTGGTAACGATCCTGAGTTTAAAGGTTACAGTAAGCTTGAGCAGAACGCCTATGTTTTATTTTGACCAAATCTTGACTATAAGAGGAACGAAACTATGAAGAGCACAAACTACAATTAGAAGTTGGATAGTGAAAAGATTAAACAATTTTAAACATGACTTGTTTGAGCCCCCGCCATGTGTTCATGATGGCTCCGAGCTTTCGTGTCAGACGATTGGGATGCACACTCTCCATCACGATGGCCATTCTTTGAACCAAGGCAAGCAGTGATCAGCTCACAAAGAAGTATAATGATGACATGTGTTGTATGGTTTGAAGTGAATTAATGACAAACTACGCTGCATGGAATGGTAAATGATGATCTTGGAAACAATCTTCCAAGGGGTGAATCCAATTCGGAGTGTGCCTCATTTCAGCTCCCCAAGGAATCCTTGGACGTGGAGGTGGAGGGTCTCAGCTATAAAGATAGGCTTGTAGACGGTATTGAAAATTGTTGTGTTAAGCACTGAAGTGGTAAGACCATTAATTGTACGCAGAAGCATGTGTTACATAACCTCTCCTATTTAAATGAAAATGATGGAAAGCTCAAAACCATCGAAAAAGGGTCTAAACTTGTTAACTCTGAGAATATGGGGATGAAGCCCACAAGAGCAAACAACCAGGCTGAAAGCAGCAAAACGAGGAATTAAGAGTTCTAGAGACGATCAAAGTCATCACTGAGAAGGCCATGAAATGGGGAATTAAGAGTAGGTCTTCTTATTATCTTTATCTTCTCCAGGTGATTACAAGCATATTGTCATTATTGTGAAAGAAGGATTATGGCTAGCGAATGGAAAATATTTTGTAATTTCCTAGTGGAAGGCAAGGTCCAACCTTCTTATTGCAAAGCTCAAGGAAGCTGATTTATGGGCCAGGCTTTCAAGTCTTCGTGACATTGGCATTGTCATTGATGAGGGGTAATTTGGCCTGGCCTATTAGCATGTGGACACGTGGATCGATTCGATGACTGGATGACGACTCAACATTTCCTGCCACCTCAGCAGGCCAAGTCAGCTCAGGTACCTTGGGCACCTCGGCCAACATCGAGGTCCGAGGAGCTTGTGGTGACCCGACCTATCGAGGTGCCACATAGCTCGCTTCTAGAATCTAACCAGATGTCTTCGACCTTTTCGGGATCATGTCGCACATCCGCAAGCCCTATCCTTATCCATCCTAGATCAGACGGATTTGATAAGCCTTATCAGCTCACACGAAGTCCACCTCCAGGTGCGAAATGGACTCCGAGTAGCATGGGTCGGGGATCTCAAACGTGTATCATGAGGCACATAGGCAGCTCACCTATACAAGGGCTTCAACCCCAACACTACAAGGTACACGCGATTATAGCTCACTATCTCTCTTGCTTTTAAAGCTCTTCAGCTCGCAAACAATAGTTGCTAACTTAAGCATCAAAGTGTCCACACTGGGTATGCCACCCTGGGTCCTCTGAGCATACTTTCTTGTAGTTCGACCGGCCATCTAAGCAGACTGGCGTCTAAGCTGCCATTCAGCTAAGAATAACCAAATCGTGCACCATTAGTCATTAAACTAGACCTCAATATAGAGAGTATGTTCCGGACCATGTTTCTGCATATCTATGTAAGAATCAATCTTACCTACCTTTTTAAATCACAAATTCCTCTTACCTCTGGGGATTAGAAGCACACCATTAAAGTCTTCTATGAAAATATTTTTGACTTATGCTTGATCTGTGGGAGACGTAGTCATAAAGCCAATATCTACCCATCATCAAAGAAAAATGCTTAGGAAGAGTGGGTTGTGGTTCACCACCGAAAAAATAACAATTTCAATAGGCAAGTAGTTGGGTTTAAACGAGCTAGCTATGAGAAACTAAATGGGAAAGGATGGACCAGCTACAAGCAAAATAACTGGTCCCTTGCTAAGAACCAGAGGAAGGATCAAGCAAAAGGTATCACCAAAACTAGATTTATCAATGCAGGATGCATGACCATTGAGAAGATTAGGGGTGGTTTCGAGTCGAGCCAAGCCAAATACTTGGCTATTCGAGCTCGGCTCGCTGAAATTGTGTTAGGATCAAGCTCAAGCTCAATTCGAGCTAAAGACTTGAGCTCGACCTCGGCTCGGTTCAAAGCTCGCAAGTTCAAGCTTGGCTCAACTACCAGCCAAGTTTTTTTCTAAAAAATAAAAATTATACATATAAAAATATTTTTTATTTTACATACAAAAAATTAAGAATTATAAAAATTATTTACTATTATACATAAAAATAAAAATATTATATATAAAATATTATTATATTTATATATTTATATATTTGTATGTATGTATGTATGTATGTATGTATGTTGCAAGCCTCACGAGCCGGGTTTCACTAGGCTTAAGTTCGGTTCGATTAGCAAATGAGTCTATATATCAGGCTTGAGATCAGCTCAAAGTTCGGTTTAAACCGAGCTAAGCCGAGCTCGAAGAACTTGTGAGAAGCTTGGCTCGTGGCTAAGATGATGTATTAATGATCAATAACAATGAGAGTTTGATAGCAACAAAACAAACCGTAAGTGGAGTTCAGGGTCCCAAAAATGGGTCCCCAAGAAAAGGTGAATGCAAATGAAGATTTTGGCCTGGAACGTTAGAGGAGTTGGCAGACCCGATTAAGATGCCAAGTCTATGATCTTTCCAAATCACATAGACTTGGTATTTGCTTTTTGATGGAAACTCGGATCAATCTGGATCGTGCTAGAAAAGTTGCTAAGTCTTTACCTTTTGATGAATACTTTATTGTTGACTTTGTACGATTTTCAAGCGGGCTATGGGTTTGTGGGATAAGAGCCAATGCAATATCAATATTATTATCAGTAATGAGAGATTAATTCATATTTGTATTACTGACCTCTCATATTGATACAGCTAATAGTAGCTGAAGTGGTTCAAATGATAGACTGTCAAACTCTATCCTATACATCTGTCAATTTCTATCATATTCTAACTTACTGCATACTTATCTTGTATTACTTATCCTATACTCTTGTACATACAGTATTCTTAAGATTCACAATATAAATACAAGTCTAAACTCACCAATAGCATTAAGATGAGATTACTAATTTCGGTGTTCTGTGAGATTACTAATTACAGTGTTTTGTTTCACATGTAATCTAACGTGGTTCTGCGCCTTTATCTATATGCCCCCCCCCCCACCCTAATCATTTAGATCAAAGAATTGTGTGGGATTGGATTAAGGAAAATGTTGATAATATTGACCATGCATGGTGCTTATTGGGTGATTCAACACCCTTAGAAAATAGTGAAAACAAACTTGGTGGTAGGAAAGTTTTTACCAACTAGACTAAGGGTTTTAATGAGCTAATTGATTATTGTAACCTCATTGAGATGGGCTTTATCAAATGATTTATGGCGGAGAGTCTATCTGACTGCTTCTCTTACTAATCTTCCATTCCTTACATCGGATCACTCTCCCCTCCTCATCCAAGTTGAGATCAAGATGAACTACAGTTCCAAACCATTTCGGTTTGAGACTATGTTGTGCCTTGATCCTAGCTTGGAAGGAAGTCATAAGCAATTTTGGTAATATTTTCAAAAATAAAGAAATATTTTATATCAACTAGGGGATGTCCGAAAGAAGCTAACCAGTGATCCCACTAGTAATGCTTTAGTCAATTTGGAATGTGCTCTCCAGAGGCAGTTGGATTTCATCCTCACTCGAGGAAATTTACTAGGCTCAGAAATCAAGAGTCAACTGGATTAACATGGGGGATAAGAACAATAGTTTCTTTCGTACAACTGCCACTATTAAGAGAAGTAAGAAGATGATCATTGAAATTAAGAATGAGGAAGGATCATGGATTAAGGATCAAAAGGAAATTGTTGAATTCTTATGTAACAACTTTGAGGCCAGATTCTAGTCTAAGGGCACAGAAGGTGTAGATGACTTTATCAAGGATATTAATCCTTGTAATTTTGATAATCAAAGCAAGTCCATTATTGGGGAGGTCACTGATGAGGAAATCTATTCTACCCTTCTCTCAATAAAAGATCTGAAAGCCCCGAGTCTGGGTGGGCTTAATGTATAATTTTTTAAAAACTTTTGATCCATCATTGATTGCACCATCTTTAGTACTATTAAAGTTTTTTTTCCACTCAAGGAGGATGAACAAAACTTCCATTACTCTCATTTCAAAAAAAAAAAAAAATCCAACCCTGAGTTTGCCAACAATTATAGACCTATCAGCCTGTATAATAAAATTTACAAAATAATTTTCAAAATTCTTGTTAATAAAATTAAATCATTTCTAGAGGGTATCATATCTCCATTTCAAAGTGTTTTTGTTCATAACAGACAAATTACTGACAACATTCTCATTGCCCATGAGAAGATTCACACAATGAAGAAAAAGAAAGGCAACTCTTATATTATGACTTACAAAATTGATATGGAGAAGACCTACAATAGGTTAGAATGGAAGTTCATAGAGAAGATACTTCAGAGATTTGGATTCCACAACAAATGAATTTGTTGGGTTATGGAGTGCATCAATTCTGCCTCCTACTAGATCTTAATTAATGGTGTTCCCTTGAGGGAGTTAACCCCATCCCGTAATATTAGGCAAGTCAATCATCTCTCACCTTACGTCTTTGTTCTTTGTGCTAAGGTTCTTACCAAAAACCTTTTGAGGGAGGGTTCTCTCTCAAATAGTCTCATTGGATGCAAGGCTTCCAGGCATGGCCCTACCATCCCAAATAGTCTCATTTGATGACAACCTTATTTTTGCGAAAAAGAATATCTATGCTAACATGCCTTAAATTAAGTTGGATTAAAAATTTTGTTGTGGGTTAATGATGCTTGTATTGCTAAATTAAGTTGAAAATCCTTCATGAGAAAGAGAATCTTTGGGTTCAAATGGTTACCAATAAGTATTTAGGAAAAGAAAAATTTTGGGGGGTAAAAGGATGAAGCGTCACTCTTAATTAAGCATGGAGAGGAATTCTCTCCACTAGAGATCTAATAGAAAAAGGGGCAAGCTGGACCATTGGCAATGGTAACTCTACGAAGTTTTGGACTGATAGGTAGGTTGTTGATACCCCATTGTGCAAGTCCATAAACTCAGAATAGGTTATTGATTTGGATACATCAAAATTTATATAAAATTAAAATTTTAAGTTTTTTTTATTTTTTTAAATAAATAACTTTGATCCGATTCACAGTCCAGTCTGGCTTAAGGCTTGGCCCACAAATCAGCACGGGCTCGTATGGGCTCAGGCCCCAGGCCGTGTCGGGCCAATCCCCCAAAATATCTCAGGGTGAAGGATGCACGGCCCATTTTACACCTCTATCTAGAGGCCTAACCCGAGTGCCAAATTATCCATCAAATCAGCCTATAACGAAACCACTTTGATGCATGGGACAAAGCCCCAACCCTACAAATAATATATTTAAAGTCTAGAGTTTGAAAACCCCGCCCAAATAGAAGGTTTTTATGTTCTTACTTGTTAATAACAAGCTTCCAACCAAAAGAATGTTAATTTTTAGACTTACGGATATCGATGGTGCTTGTATTTGTAGAGAAGAAGAGGATGCATGCCACATTTTTTGTAAAGTGCTCCCTTGTTAGACAAATCTGGATAATGACCTATAATCCTCTCAAATTACCTAAAGGTCTAAAAGGGTCGATTCTAGATTGGTGGAAGCATCTGTTAAAATCTAGTAAGGATTTCTAAAAGGGTCAATTCTAGATTGGTGGAAGCATTTGTTAAAATCTAGTAAGGATTTATCTCCTGACCTAAGACAATAAAGAAAAATTCCCCTTGCTACTTTGACAATTATGGAAAAGTCACAATGAAAAAGTATTCAATAATAAATTTGTGGATCCTTCCATTATTCTAGAGAGAGCTCGAAACTCCTTGGAGGTTAGGTCCTTGATAATGGAAGAAGCAAAGAGAAATCTTGGACTGCAATTCGATGGATGAGCCCGTTAATTTTGATGCTTCTTCAATTAATATCTCGTGCCCTATTGCTTGTGTGGCTAGGGACCATTCAGTAGGACACGAGACATCTAAAAGCTTATAGCATTGGATCCACAACCACTAACTTACCAAAAGCTTGGGCTGCATGGGAGCCCATAACATTGCCCTCAATTTCAATTTCATGATCGTATCACGATTGAAGAGAGGTTTAAAGTTTGTCATCGACGGCCTCAATTATTGAGGACTGCTGGATCTTAACTTAGTTGCGAAGTGGAGTGCAGTCATGTCTATCATGAAACAATGTAAACATAGCAAGTGTTCCTAACCTTTTCACTATCATTTGTTGTTTAGATTTTTGGAGACGTGCTACCCCGCTTTGTATAACGACTTTCTGCATTATCAAAAAAAATGACAAAAAATATATTACGATATAATAATATACATTAGACATAGGTTAGGCTTCGGGCTCAACCCATCAACATTTTACACTTAGTATCGCTCCTAGGAAAGTAAAAAAGACAAAAAAGAATCATGGCTTTTCTTCCATTGTCTAATGCTTGTAGAAAATGCCACAATGATGTCTTCGCATTATTATCTCCACTACCTTTTAATGAGAGTGAGAAGAAGTATCGTTTCTTGTTTGTGTTTGATATAATGAAAATGTAGGGTAATCATTTGAGCTGCACAAATGGATGTCAATTGGTTAGGTTTTATACAAATTAGGTTAACTTATAAATCCCAACTAGGCTTAACCTTCCTCTGGTGTTTGAAAAACTTGTTTTTAAAACACTAGACCCGTTTTGATGATGCGTCTAAAAAATTATCTGAATTTCATTTCCAAGTCTGAAACTCAAAGCATGCCGCCCAGCTCTTAATGCTCTCAGACGCGGTTTTTGAGCTTGTAAAAGTCAAAATTACCCCTCCAACATTTTTCAAAATTACATGCTAATGCCCCTGATTACTCCCAAACCAAAAAAACCTAGCTCATTTTTGTTCCAGATGTGAAAGAAATCTCCCGCTTGTGAAGATTGTTCCATGTATGATCGCAATATGCTGAAATGTTGATTCATTACAAACAACTTTATCTATTCAGAGCCTCTAAACAATAGAAACGCATTATAACTCTTTCAAATTTCTAACACTTTTAATATCCTTTTACTTTTTTAGATTTTAGATTTTAAATTTATCAAACGTCACCTTAGTCCTCCGCTATCCTATTGCCATCCCTAAATAGAGTTTGGTGAGATAAAAAGAATAATAGATGAGTAATTATATAAATTTAATCTGGGTCGGATCTTAATCGGATAGGGTTTCAGATTCGGAAGTCGAACCATTACTTTCGCCTTCGGGTCCCATCTGTGGAACATGGATGTCCATGTAGGCGCACGTGACTTCCGCTAAATGACGCTTGAGTGCGCGTCACGCATCCACTTGCTAATTGCGCCGCGGGCCCGCGGCGAGGCCGCGAGGGAGAGTTATTTTAAAAGACGGCAAGTGGGTGAGACGGGAGACTTGGAAGAAGAGAAAAAGAAAGAGAGGGAGACGACTCGAACGACCGATCTGCTCTTCAAGCCCATCGCTTCCTCGCTCTGTTTCTCCCTCGCGTAGGTATTTTTTTTCTCTCTTTTCTTGATTTTTCTTCATATACACTTGTTTCTTCTCTTCACTTTTTAATCTCATCTTCCGTGCGTCGTTTCTGTGGTCTAGGGTTTCTTGTTTATGGGGCTTTTTGGTTTTGATTTCTGTTCCTTTTTCGGTGTTTTGGATGATTTGTTGTTTAAAATAGGGCTTTGCAGTATTTATTTTTAGTTCAACTGTATAGGGTTTTAGTTCTCCTTTGTTTGAATTCAGGAAATCATGATTTTAGGGTTTCTTTGTTTAAGTCGGGTGAGGGTGTTTGTAAGGGCTTCAGCGATATAGGGCTGAAACATGATTTCATCTTTTGTTGTCTCTCTGTATCTTTCTATTTCTTAAATTTTATGATGCGTTTGTTTGTGAAAGTTTGGATTTTGGGTTTTCAGCAATATAGTATGTTTGGAGTTTAATGTCAGTTTATGGTTTTGTTATTTTAATCTATTTAGCAGGGCTTAAGAGCCATTTAAACCGGTATTTATGACGATTTGCTTTGTGATCTTTCAGATTTAAGTTGAGGAGAAAGAGGGAACGTCTCCATCTTTGGGCTTAGAGGCAGGTTCGTGGTTGGTGTGTTGGAAGTCTTGCATAAGGTAAGAAAGCTGTATCAGTTTTCTTACTATATATAAATTTATGCAGTGTGCATCAGTAACTTGCTAATTAGGCAATGAAGTTATATATGTAAACATGGCAGACATTATTTCCATTTCTTAAGAATGACAAATATAATTAGAGCTATACATTTCTTATGGAATTCTGAGTTCTTTGATGTTTTTATTTCATGCTTTGACAACTAACAGACCCACAAACTGTGTTCAACCTCATTTCTTTGAGACCTAACAGACTCAGAAATTGTGTTTTTATTTTATGCTTTGAAAACTTACAGACCCAGCAAACCATAGGCTATAGCTATTTGTAACATGAAGCAATGGCGCATGGCTATTGGTATCCATGTTTCATGTTGGTTATTGATAAAACTGGAGGTAGGGAAGTTAAGGCCAAATGGTACTCATTGGAAATTTCCTAGCTGCCTTTTTCTTTTCTACCTTTTTTTTTCTTCGTTGGGATGGTGATGGTGTGCAGTGACTCTGCGCTACAGTTGATTTTAAGAGATCCTATGGGATGGGTGTGCGAGTCCTTGAATGCCTAAATTCTAAATATATTTCAAGGCGACACCTTTATTAGTGTAAGGTGATTCAGAAAATGCCAAGGCATTGGCAGTGGGAGATGTGGAATATTCTTGAGGAGATGCCACTGAAAGCAATTGTGTCCTTGAAGACATTCTGCATATTTATACTTTTAAGTGCCCGTATGGATGTCAGAGGGTCGAAGGGTCTCATATATGCAGGCTTTGTGGCTTTTTCTAAGTTGTGGCTTTCTTTCAATGGAAGCACTTTTTTAGTTTTTTTCCAATCTTTCTTGCTTTTCTTTTTGCTTGCACAACAAATCTTGCATATTTTATTATCTCATTGCATTTGATAGTTGTCTGAATCCTGGATATTTAGATTCAAAATTTAATACCAACATGTATGTTTATTTGCCTATTCAGAAGTCTGTACCACAAATTCCACTTGGCAGTTCCAATAATTTTTCATGTATGGGTCTTAACTATATTTGTGAATCTAGATATCTATTAATCTGATTGAAACTGATCCCTGTTACTACTGCTTTTGTTTTCAAGTGCTTAAGTGAACCTGGTTTAAAAAATTTGGACCTAGTTCACATTTTTCCTTGTTTGTTTTTGAAACATCTTTTACACCTCTGAGAGGTAAATTTTACACTGGATCACATAATTTGCATCTATATGGGGTGAAAACTTGCGTCCAAGAAGTGATGCAAAATCTATTCTCATTTCTCCTCTATGCTCTCCCAAACAAATAAAGAAGACTATAGTTTCTTTAGTCTGAAAATAATGTAAACTAGGATTTTACTCCATTTTTACCACCTGAACCATTTACTTACTCAAATGAAATTTACACTTTGAAACAGAAGCAGTTAATGTATTCTTATAATCTCATGTCTACCAAGTTTCTAGTAGTTTATTGACAAAAAATAATGTTAATACTACCCAAAATGAAATTTAGTCAGTCTTGCTATTCATTTTACATCTTTTTTTTTTGTTACGTGAGACAGAATATGATAATGGAGGAACTAACAATGATTTTTCTCTTCTGTGAGATGTACTTCCGGTCATCATCTTACCGAAATGCAGATATTGAGCTGGTTTTTGAATTCATATGGATAGCAAGAAGTTCATGCAATTGGTTGAGGAGAAAAAGAAAAGAGCCTTGGAGAAGAAAGAAGCCCCCTTGAAATGGGAACAAAAGTTAGAGGCTGCTGCCAAGGCAAAAGCAGATGCCGAAGCCAAGGAGAGGAAAATAAAAGCTGCAAAGCATAAGAGGAAATCTGTATCAACATCTGATGATGACAGTGACAGTGAGAGCAATGATTCCGGAAGAAAGAGGGCCAAAAGGTCACACAAGAAGCACAGGAAGCAGAGTCACTCTGATTCATCAGGCGACAATGAGAAGAAGAGGGAAAAGAAGTCCAAGCGAAGACCAAAGAAGCACTCCTCGAGCTCAAGTGATGAGAGCAGCGGCAATGAATATTACAGTGATTCAGAGGAAGATCAGAGGAGGAAGAAGCGGGCTCACAAGAAAAGGCATAGACGTCATGTTTCAGACTCAGACTCTAGTGCTTCAGATTCCTCAAGTGATGAAAACGGGGCACTAGCACGAAAGAATCACACTAGGCACCACAAACATCATCGCAAAACCGTCCATGACTCGACATCTTCAGACTCTGATGATAATAGGCGTCAACATGCAAGGCACCACAAACGACATCACCGATCCAGTGCTGATGAATCCACAGATTCAGATTCTGATTATCACAGGGATGAGGGGAGGAGCCAGTCTTTGGGAAAGTCATCAGATGACAACCACGAAGAATCAGGTAAACAAAAGAGGCATAAGAAATGTCACCACCGTCATGGCCACCATCACCACCGTCGCCACCACCATCACAAACCCCATCATGCAGCAGCAGATAACAATGGTAATCATGAGCACCGTAACCATTCAGAACCTAATGGAAAACCCACAGAAAATACAGCCAATGGCAATTCTACTGGTGCGGATGCCAACTGACGTGGATTGATCGAGCAACTGTACTACCCTCTTTCACTTTGTTTTTGTTTTTTTTTTTTTTAGCTTGGTAGAAAATCTGAGAACTCAAATGTGGATAAAAATTGCTCATGTTTTAATGGACCTTGATTGAATTTGAGGTAATCTGGGATCTCATTGGTGAGTTCGCTCCTTGGGTTTTTATTTGTGAGAATAAGAATTTGTTTAAACTTGCAGTAGTTGGTCTAAAGTATTTTGTCAGATCTCAGAAGCGACCACAAATACTCGGTTGGGATTAAACTCAACAGGGTTGTTTTATGTCGTTTCCATTTCTGCCAGAGCACCTTATGTCAACGTAACATCGTACATGCATGCGGCGAGAATTTCATCCGTCTTGGTTTCATGCGTGCAGCGTGGTAGTACAGAGGTTCAGCCCAGGTCAGAATTTGTAGGCTCCAACAAATTCAGAAATCTGTATTTATAATTGCGTAGTATGTTTATAATTGTGTAGTAGAAATCAGAAATCTGCGTTGTGCCTGTCCTTATTTTTCCGTAATATGTATGGCTCCAACGAAAATTGACATTTCTTGTTGCCAATTTTTAGATCAGTTGGGTTATGTCTTCGACATAGTTTTTTCTTGCGATTTGCTAACCCGGATCTCCAAAAGCTTTGCACCCATAGTTGGGAATCATCACTTGCTGTTACCCTGAAAAACAACGATATATTCGTCATTCGTGAGAAGAAAACAAACAATATATTCAACGGTTCCGCCATTCCTTCAAATCAATGAATCATTTCTCACTTTTAATTACTTAAAACCTTCATCCCTTTCTGGACCCCCAAGGCCCTAATAATAATACACAATTGTCACTGGTGTTGGAAACCTGCTTTATACTCACTGAAGAAGAGGCAAGGGTAAAGATTCTTCAGAAACTCGTGCAACCATCCGTTGGATGCGCATTTATGAAAAGAATCGGTAAGATCCATCACAAAATGTGACTTGCACATATCAGTATTGCCTCTTAACATAAATTACATTTAAAGGATCCATCTCCAACACGTGGAGGAAATACGTATTTGACCACTCAGGAAAAATAAAATAAAATAAATTCTGCAACAGTCCGATTTAGCATATCCAGGTAGAATCGCCTTCTGGATGGATTCTAAACCACCCGAAGTCCCGAACATATGGGAGAAGCTGACGTATCAGGGGTCATTTTATTTTGTTATTTTTACCCGAAGCAATTGATATCTCAGCGTTATACAATGAAAGAATTAGTTTCTAACCATTTCTCGGTAATGAAATAATACATTGGAATCAAAACTGACTGCTGTCAGACTCAGAAGTTCTTCAAAATCTTCTCCCTCGACACACCAATGGCCAAAAGAACAGAAGTAACTTCCTGCAAAAAAAGCAGTTGCTATCATAAATAATTTGTACAATTGGATCTTCGCACAAAGCAAAGGTATTTGGCCATTTTTCCTAGGATAAGGAAAAAAAACCAAGAAAAAAATCACAAATACACGGCAAAATCCAAAGCAATGTAAGAAAATTTCAGTGGATAGATAACATCCACCACAATAATGGTTGACCAACAGAAATACCAATTATGGTAACCAGTATCAGAAGGATCCCAGAAAGGACCACATTCACCATGAAGATCAAAAGAAACTCCATCACTGATTTTTAATACCACATTATAACCGCCTGTAGAGATATATATGATAATCAAAATGAGACAAATTCACTTTCACTTCCTTTTTAATCATAGATAGGCATGGTGCCAACTCTGCTTTATCCTATATAAGAAGAATTGGCAGCAGAAACCACTCCATCCAGTAAAAACAAAGAGATCTCTTCTAAATACCACTAGCTGAATCCATTTTCTTTTAGACCTTTCTTTTTCCTATAAGAAACTTCTCTACTTGAACCTAACTACTAATTCTCAACCGTGCTCTCACTAACCTTTGTTTCACATGACCAAGCCATTAAAGTCAACTTAGTCTTGCCTCCAACTAGTACAATCCCCAAGTCCTGTTTAATGCATATGTACAGAAGTCCATCACTCCTAAACTCACAATTCATCCATCTCACATTCTCAGCTCTAGTAAATTCATTTCATGGAAAATGTTCTCTGGTTGCCTGACATTCAACTCTGAAGAACAATATAGCAATTCTATGAAAATTCCCCTTCAGATTAATTGGTGTGCCACTCGAATAATTGTGCGAAGAAACAACATAATAGCTTTGAGGAACCTCCTGCCCATCAATCTTGGCATTTCCTATGTCTTTAACAAAACTACATTTCATATTATGTCCCAGTTCAACTGACTAGAGTCTTTGGCCCTCACATCAACTGTCAACAGTATGAAACCCTACCACTTCCATTCCCAAATATTCTTATTATACTGATGGCCTAGGTGTCCAAATAACCATCCAATATCTATGTAACTTTAATAGGTTGCTCTTTTCCCAATGAGAGTCCATATAACTTGCTGCTATACCTTCACTGTCATGGGTATGAGACAACAATATCTGAAATCTGAAAATCACTCTCTATTAGTCTAGTTTGTATTCACTCTTCAAACTTATCCAATGCCTTCATCAAACGGATCACTAGTGAGCAATTCAATGACAACCTAAAACCAGTTTGCTATGTTGTGGAAAATCCTCACATCCCTTTCCAAAATCCAAATGCTTCAAAAAATATGTAAAAGCCTTCTCAACATGATGTGGAAGAACATAGTTGTCAAGGCGACACCTAGGCGACAAGGCGCCCTTTGAGGCTCGCCTCGCCTAATCGCCAAGCAGTTTTGTACTATGTATTGTAAAATACCTTTTTATTCTTTATTTTTTGACATTATAATTATAAAATAGGCACTATTAAACTAAAATATTCATTTTGTGTGTTTATATACTAATTTGTTTTTATTATTTTCTTATTTGTTAGGATTTAATCAATACAAACATTGCTAAATTCTGTATTGAACCCTCAAAGACTTTAAAACATGAACCAATAAGGAAGAACTTAAAATTTTGTCTAATCAACACACTTTCTATACCTTAACATGAACTCTATACTTTTCTTATGAAAATTATGAATAATTATTAAGGAAATATGGCTATGGTACCTAGGGAACTACCCTAGGATCTATGTTTTCTATATAAAAAAATCCATCGCCTAGGCGACACCTAGGCGCCTGCCTGGGCGACTAGGCGACAAGGCGCCCTAACGCCCAGCCTCACCTTGGCGCCTTGAAAACTAAGAAGGCACCAATATGGTACAATAACATCTCTGAAGGGGGACCAACAGATACAGCAAATATGAATACCAAAATGAGTCAAAGGGTGCCTAGTAATTCCACCAATAAAACTACATAGATTGATGTGAAGATTAATTGACAAGAGATAAGTGTCAGGAGTCTCATTAAAGTTGCAGGTTTTGAATTTCTTTCCAACTACATTCAAACTAAAGGGTCAAATATTAGGACTTTTGACAAAATAAATAACAAGGTTTGACAAACTGGCAAAATCCGTGACATTTAGTAAATTATGATGAAATCAGTGAGCAGGAAAATATAAAGGATTGTTCTCTACAACATAACTTCCCCTTTTCTCTTAACTTACCCCGACTTTTCGAAACCTCCATAGATCCACCCTGTCAGAGATCTACCATTACAAGATCAATGGTTTTGTAAATTTACTATACTGCCCCTCCCTTTGAGTCTGCCATGAATGAAAATTGTGCAATGATGATACTCCCCCACCATCTGAGGTTTGGGGGTTTATTTCTTCCTCCAAATGGGCTTGGGACCTTTGCGTTGGAAGAGGATAAAAGAAGAAATATTTTTTTTTGTTTTTTACCTGTTCTCTTTTTTAAACAATTATTTAAAAGAAGGTCAGAGTTAGTTTGGCCATTAATAATAATTAATAGCCTAACTGGACAACTCCCGTTTATGGTTACCAACAGACCTAACCTGATAGAAGGTAAGTTTTAGATAACAAAAGTTCTCTGAGATGGCAGGGGGATCTCTGGATATTTTGAAAAGCCAAGGTAAGTTTAAAAGAAATGGGGAACAGTGAAGGAGAGTTTTAGATAATAACCCAAATATAAAAATCATTTTATAAACAATAATCACCCCTACACAAAAAGATTCTGTGAATCATCATGATGAATCATGGCAAAAAGATCTCATCAATCATCACTGAACTTCAAACAGAAAATGCAACGTCCGTTGTATTAAATATGGGCACGAGCATGGGTATGGGTATGGGTATGGGTATGGGTATGGGTATGGGTATGGGTATGGGTATGGGTATGGGTATGGGTATGGGTATGGGTATGGGTATGGG